AACGCGTAGTAATCCAACGCGTAATAATCCAGCGCGTGGTAATCTAACGCGTAGGAATCAGAGCGCAAGGATTGCGCATGCGCAGACGCGAGAGCGCAGCTTCGAGCCTAGAGGCGGAGCGCGCGTAATCCTCGTACTTTGATTGGTCCGCGTTTTTCCTTAATAATTCAGAAACGAAGCTTCAAACCCCATTTTCGCAAAGGGAAATTTTATTCAGAATCATGTCAGCTACCTCCCATTTCAAGGGCCTACACTAATTGTGAGACACCCTGTATAATGGGTAGGTATTTCACAAATAATTTAGGTTAGGTTAATTTAACTGGTTTTACAATTTTTCATAGACTTTCAACTTTCACGTAGCTTTCCACATCTTCCAAGTATAGTCTCCCTAAAATCCTACCCTACCCTCATTTCAAAAACAGCTTCAACTATAAAAAAATGTTTCCTACAAAAGTTATAGAACATCAAGGGAAACACACAATAATAGCAACAATTTGACCTCAGATCGTTTGAAGGTCGAACTTCAGTTTCTTAAATAGAACCCCCATTTTTTATCGCATATTCTCCCTCGAGACGTCTACAAAACACTACCTTTGTTTATTTTTTGTGTCACTCCCAAGATATGAAGCTTCAAAGTTGACATATCGTCAGCATTACCCAAGGTGTACGAAGGTTGCACGACCAGATTTACGTCACTTATGTGTCAACTTTGAAGCTTCATATCTTGGAAACTTGCTCAAAAAACAAACGTAGTGTTTTGAAAACGTCTTGGGGTTACAAGAATATGCAATAAAAAATGGGGGTTCTATTTAAGAAACTGCAGTTCGACCTTCAAACGATCCAAGGTCAAATTGTTGCCACCATCTTATGTTTCTCTTGATGTCCTACAACTTTTGTCTGAAACATTTTTTCATATTTGACGCAGTTTCCGAAATACAAGGGGTAGGATTTTAGAGAGACTCTGTGATCCTTGAAAATAACTGAACCTAACCTAACCACAAGTACTCCATAGAATGACCGGACATTCTGTAGATTGAATGAAACCTTGTTATAGGCATTTTGCACAATGACTTTTCGAAAGGGCGTTCTACACAATACCCGGCCATTTTACAAAATGCACACATGGAACACATGGCACGTAACATATCGATTGAACGAGCGCTGTACAAGGACCTTATGGGAGTTCATTTGATTTTTGTTTATTGGTAGACAATCGATATATGTTGTACGTTGTTCGATATATGCGGAGGCAAATATGGACGACAAATTAATTTGACTCGATGTGTACGATGCAAACGTGGCAGTACTGTTTGCGCAAGTTTGCTCACGGCGGTTTGATTTGAAAGTAAATGGAATTTTATTTTGTGTGTGTGTGTTGAGAGCATATTATACGCCGTTTATGTAAGCACGTACTTTGGTAGCGAACATTGGCGTTTTGTTCAGTTTTTTTTTTTGTGCTATGGAAGTATTGTTGTATGAAATGCACGTGGGGAATTGTGGTTTATGAAATTTGAGAGTATGACCTTTTGAAAATGGAGGATTTATAATTTTTGAAATTATTATATTTCCAAATTTCTAAATTTCCAAATTCCTAGATTCCCAAATTCCTAGATTCCCAACTCCCTAGATTTTCAACTCCCTAAATTCCCAACTCCCTAAATTCCCAACTCCCTAGATTCCCAAATTCCTAGATTTCCAAATTCCTAGATTTCCAAATTCCTAGATTTCCAAATTCCTAGATTTCCAACTCCCTAGAGTTCCAACTCCCTAGATTTCCTACTCCCTAGATTCCCAACTCCCTAGATTCCCAACTCCCTAGAGTTCCAACTCCTTAGAGTTCCAACTCCCTAAATTCCCAACTCTCTAGAGTCCCAACTCCCTAGAGTCTCGACTCCCTAAATTTCCAAATCCCTAAAATTCCCAAACTCTAAAATCTTCAAATTTCTAGACTCCTAACTCTGTATATTAAAAAATCCCGAGATTCCCAAATTCTTAGATTTCCAAATCCCCAAATTCCCAAATTCCCAAATTTCCAAATCCCAAAATTCCCAAATTCTAAAATCTTCAAATTCCTAGACTCCCAACTCTGTATATTCAAGTATCCCTAGATTCCCAAATTCTTAGATTTCCAAATCCCCAAATTCCCAAATTCCCAAATTCCCAAATTCCCAGATTCCCAAATTTCCAAATTTCCAAATTCCCAAATTTCCAAATCCCAAAATCCCCGAATCCCCAAACCCGCAAATCCCCATATCTCCAAATCCCCAAATCCCTAAATTCTGAAATTCTACATTTCCGTCCCAAAATTCAAAAAATCTAAATTCCTAAAATTTCAAAATCCGTGAAAAACCCCCAAATCCAAAAATTCAGACATTTCAACTCATCCACCACTTCTATCGAACGTGATATACCTTGAGAGTCCACACGTAGACCAGCCTTAATCGGCAATATAAGACGCGGAAACCCACAATTCAAAGGAATATATTACCACAAACGCGCCAGTTGGTTCAATGACTTGTCTTTGTCCAGTGGTCAACACGTTAGTCATTGGGGCTATCTTACTTTTGCTTGCGGCACATTTATTAATGTTGCCGCCTTATCCTCTGTAATATGGTTTCTCCTTCGAGCACTTCCGCCTCGGCACTCTCTGATATTTCTGTAATTTCATCGCGGATTATCACGCTTTCATTAGACCGCGCTGTTAGGCTTTGTTCTATTGCTTTCTTTTCAACACGCACCTTAATATGCTTATTTCTTTCTCTTTTGCTACGTTACTTTGATGCTCATTTACCATTAACGCGGAAACGCATTATTGTCTCTATGCGAACATTATAATTTGATTATCCTATAGGGCGATACACAAATGGCGATGCTTAAGAGCATATTATTATTACATTCTTTGAAAGCTTTCTGGTTTTTATCTTCCTTTTATTTGTAATTTTCGTGATGGTTATTGGGAGAAAATATCTGTGCTGATGTGTGCATATGTGAATATGTAGGTATGTGGGTATGAGGATATATTAGATATATAAGATATGTGGACATGTATGTTTACATGTATGTGGATATGTTGACATGTGAATATGTGGACCTGTATGTGGATGTGAAGGTATGAGAGTATGTAGATATTTTGATATGTAGATATGTGAACATGTAGATGTGTGAATATGTAGGTATATGAACATATATGTGGATGTGTAGATACATATATGTGGATGTGTAAGCGGACATGTGTGAATACATGAATGTGGACGTGTAGATACGTAGCTATGTGGATATGTGGATATGTGGATACGTGGATCTATGAATATGTGGATATGTGGACAAGTGGATCTGTGGATGTGTGGATATGTGAATATATAGATCTGTGGATATGTGGATATGAAGATATGTGGATATGTAGATCTATGGGTATATGAATATGTGGATCTATGGATATGTGGATATGTGGACAAGTGGATCTGTGGATGTGTGGATCTATGGATGTGTGGATATGTGGATGTGTGGATATGTGGATGTGTGGATATGTGGATATGGAGATATGTAGATGTGTGGATATGTGGATATGTGGATATGTGGATATGTGGATCTATGGGTATATGAATATGTGAATATGTGGATCTATGGATATGTGGATATGTAGACAAGTGGATCTGTGAATGTGTGGATATGTGGATATGTGGATATGTGGATCTATGGGTATGTGAATATGTGGATATGTGGACAAGTTGATCTGTGAATGTGTGGATATGTGGATATGTGGATCTATGGGTATGTGGATCTGTGGATGTGTGGATATGTGGATATGGAGATATGTAGATATGTGGATATATGGATATGTGAACATGGGAATATGGGAATATGTGGATATGTGGATATGTGGATATGTGGATATGTGGACACGTGGATCTGTAAATTACAGACATACAGATATATACCCAACTAAGTATTCAAATATGCAAATATGCAAATACCTAATTAACAGCACAAGTAAATATATAAATATCCACATATGTAAACATGAAAAAACCCACATATGTAAATACCGAGACACGCAGTAATGAATATATGCAAATATGTAAATACGTAATCTAACATCTTCCGAACTTCATTAAAATGATACTCGAGATCTGTCCAATTTTATCTCCAAGTTTGCTATACATGTACTTTTTGTACACACTTTTGACACGTCCTGTACGTCAAAGGAAGTCGATAATTGCCACGTGTTTCCAGCAATTAGTTCCCGTTACTGATCATACGTTTAACGTGATAAATTAGTTTCACTAGACGATGTGAGATTCAGCAAGATTAAAAATGGTAACAAGTTTATTTCATTAGCGCGTGCCAGCTAGTGGAATGTAATAGTGCACGTTCGCCACGTATCAGGTTCAACTGGATCTGGTTTTTCAGCGAAAACATAATCATCAAGATAAATAATAGTTCGTCTTAATGATTAACGGTTGCATCGTTTTTAAATATATATCACTTACATGTTGGTCTCGTCCTGTTCGGTCTCGTCAACGGGATCCACGGTCTCTGTGGCGGATGATTTGCAGTAACTGAAAACAGACAATTAAAATAGTTACAATTATGCAAACTACTATTTTATCGTTATCTATAAATTTATAACATAAAAATATGTAAGTCTCTACTAATTCATAATTAATATAAAAATATATAAAATTGTCTTAACTTATAATAAAATAAAACAATACAAAATTCCGTCAATTTATAATGAAACAAAAGAACACAAACATTGACTACTTTAAAACAACATAAAAAAAATTCACAACATAAACTTAAGGTCCACCAAATACTGAAAAAATTGTTCAAATTTAAAAAATTAAATAAAACACGTCACGTACGTGTACTAAATCTCTTCGCGACAGAAATAAAACTGCAGTTTCATTTTTTTAATCTAGCACACAATCAAGAAAAAAAATATTGCGACTGTCACCCAGACAATAAAGCAACAAAAGCAGCCACATAAAATGTAACACGCTGTATATCACCGTGGCTTTGATGAAATCTTAGTCGATGACATCGCGGAACAGCGTTCTTTTTGTCGAAACTAAAATAAATGCTGGAGGGTGTAGAATGAAATTGCACGGTGAAATAGTCCGCTTCTTGCCGGGACATTGAGACAGAAAGGACGAGAGAAGAATAGCAGGATGTATGAAGAGCTGGGTGCAACGAAGGGCGTTAACGACTCCCCGGAAATGACGGTAACAGCCCTGAAACCTCGAGACGTGACTCAACTCCGACATAAATGGCGGTACATTAGACAAGATGGAGGGGGAACGGAGAAACACCGAGGCGCGAAGGTAATCAGAATTAACAATTCAAAGTCTCCGGCATCGTCGTGGGGCTACGAGCGAGTTAAAGACTGTCAAGTGGGCTCTCGTCATTGTCTCTTTTCGCTCGTAGTCAGACGTCGGATGAAACCCGCTGGTATTTTCTACTGACAGGATAGATTTCGTTTCCTGCATTCCAAGTCTTCCATGCTAATTACGAGAGGAGCTTCAGGGAATTGCGAATCTGGGTTTTTGGTTGTTTTTAGGTTGGAACATTTAAAATTTGGGGATATAGGGATTTTGGGATGTAGGAATTTGCGGATGTGGGAATTTGGGGATGTGGGGATTTGGGGATGTGGGGATTTGGGGATGTGG